TTGGTTGCTATGAGTCAAATCAATTCAATGGCAGTCAGTTTTTTTGGTACTAAACATCAGGTGTGGTGCTGTAGGATAAGCACTGGACTGCTAACCACAGGGTCAGCAACCAGTTGCTCCTTGGAAATATTATACAGGGTTGCTATGAATCAGAACCGACTCGACAGCACTTAACAATAACAACAACAGCAACAAACAGACATTGCTTTGAGTGCCGGATATATAAAAGACAAATTGCACAATAAATCTGCCCTTTATGGTGCTTTTGTTCTGTGGGGAGACAAAAGAAAAAAACAAGAACAAATAAATGTATAACATTGCGTGGTGATACACACTGTCTAAAAGTAATGTGGCATAGGGATGAAAATGAGGTTCTAGGGCCGTTTCAGAAAGAATGGTTTAAATGGTGTGTCTAAGGAGGTGATGACATTGAGCAGATAACCTGAATATATTGAGTATTTAGAGGGAGAACATTCTAGGCAGAAGAGTCAGCTGGTAAAAAGAACCTGAGCAAATCTGTTGAAATAGAAAGTAGATTAGTAGCTGCCTAGACAAAGACTAAGGGGTTGAATGGGGAGTGGCTCATTATGATTGCTGTGTTTTCAGGAAGAGTAATGAAAATATTCTAAAATTAGATAGAGGTGATGGTTGGCCAACTTTGTGACTATACTAAAATCTGCTAAATTGTATGCATTAAAAAGGTACATTTAATGGTATATAAATTATTTCTCAATAAAACTGTGTTTTTAAAAAAGATCCAAAAGTAGGAATGAATTTAGTGAACGGAGGAACAGCAAAGTCAGCATGGCTGGAGTAGAGTAGGAGAGATAGGGGAAAAGTAGGTGATATCTTTCTAAAGCAAGTCAGTTCTCTAGGCCATTAGACCTACATTTATAACTTCATCAGCCAACAAAATAATCTTTATACTCCCTATGGAACCTGAATTGAGCTAGTTTTTGCAATGCAAAGCAATCCCATGAACTAACTGATAGAAAAGAGTTAATGATTGATACTCAGAAATTTCCTCTTATGAATAGATGATAATCTTGGAAATAATAATACCTGAACCATGGATATCTACCCTGTGGATTGTGGACTCAGAATGGTATTGGAATTCACGTACATTCTGTGACATTATCCACAGATTTAATAATAAATGCACAAATTCTAACTTGAGAAAGAAGTTTTGAGATTTAAAAAATATATAATAAAAGGGGGTCCTCATTCTCAGAATGACCACCACTCATCTGTCTGTCGTGCTGTGGTGGATTGAGTTGCTGTTATTCTGAGGGCAATGCCACTGGTATTTTAAATAAGCAGCAGGGTCACCCATGGTGGACAGGTTTCAGATGAGCTTCCAGACAAAGACAGACTAGGACAAAAGAGTGACAAACTATTTCTGAATCGCTAGTCACTGAAAATTCTATGAATAGCAGAGAAACATTGTCAGATACAGGACCAGAAGGTGGGAAGGCACTCAGAATGCAACTAGGGAAAAAAATGCCTCCTCAAAGTAGAGTTGACCACGATGACATGAATAGAGTTAAGCTCGGGGGAGAAAAGCACACAGAACCTTCATTTGCTGATGGGCCACAACTCAAAATGAAGAGAAACAGCTGTAAACATCCATTGAAAATCAGAACATGGAATGTACGAAGTATGAATCTGGGAAAATTTGAAGTTGTCAAAAATGAAATGGAACGCATTAGCATCAATAGCTTAGGCATTAGTGAGCTGAAATGGACTGGTATTGGCCATTTTGATTCTGACAACCACATGGTTTACTATGCAGGGAATGACAAATTGAAAAGGAATGGTTTTGCATTCATCATCAAAAAGAACATATCCAGATCAGTCATGAAGTACAATGCTGTAAGTGATAGGATAATATCCGTGCACCTACAGGGAAGCCCAGTTAATAACTCTATTATTCAAATTTATGCACCAACCACTAAAGCCAGTGAAGATGAAATAGAAGAATTCTACCAACTTCTTCAATCTG